ATTAAGATCAATAATAGCCTTAATTTATTAAACTAAACACATGCAATAAAAAGCAGACCCACTCCTAAAAACCGAATTGACTGAAGTAAAACATTGTTGACAGCCAATGGCAAAAGTTGCTATTATTATGGTGGATTTATCTTGAACTCATGACATATTATTACATTTATAAAAAAAAAAATTGCAGTTAATTATAGATTAGATGAGTGTAATGATTAGTACGTCTGTATACTAAACACACATAAACCTACCTTGTATTTTTCTCTTTTTGTTGATTGCTCTTTTAATATCTGTTAAATTACAGAAGTTCCTATAGCATTCGTGTGGTACCCTGGGGTACCCCGGCGTTTCCTAACAGGGACGAATGGAAACACAAACAGTACAGTTAACACAATATATTTTCCACAGATGATGAAACGCAGGTGAAGAAAAGGCCATACCAACCTATACACACACGTACCCTAGAAGGATAACATTCAAATATGAAAATTATTATGTTTTTTGAGGTAATAGTAGTAGGCCTTCCTCCTGTCCTGTCTGTGTAGCTAGGTAGGTGGTGTCTCGGGAAGAAACAGGTGGTGCATAATAGCAAGGCCTGAGTTCTGTGAGTACCATGCTTAATGTAGGAGAGAGCATAATTACTACCGTACAAAATACCATAAGAAATACCATTTTTAACTTTACTTGTCACCACACACATACCTTCGAACAGATTTAGCCAATACTTGACTAGGCCTAGGCCTACTGCTTGGACTGGCACTACTATCCCCCAGATCCTCTTCGTCTTTGAAGTACTCGAAAGCCTCGACAGCAACCTCATACTGTGGACTCTTGTTTGTAGATTTCCACAGCTTTGCACACTCCTTAAATTTTTTAAGGCTAGTTTCACTAAATGGCACAACCTTACTTTTGCTTTTAACCACATGCATAGCACAAAATAGCCCTATAAGATGCTCAGATTCATCATTAGTTGTACTTGCATCCGTCGACAACGCCATACTTGCAAGTTTGTTTACTATTTACATTGGACGAATTGCATAGAGGGGAGTTTTTGATTGGCTGAGGTCTTAGCAGCTGAGCCTACCTTTTTTGTTAGTCATCTTCTGATTGGCTATTGTTACGTACCAAGAGGTTCAATTTTGAAGATAAATTTTCATTTTTGGTTACAGTTTCCCCAAATTCACGATTGCCGACAGTCATTTTATGTTGCAATATACAGTAATAGTATTGACATTTTTGTGTAAATACCAGGTAGCCCGGATCGGTGGATCACAGAATTGAACGTTTTCGAGCCTCAACCCACTGTCTATGATATAGGATCTGTGTTTAAGTTCAGCTTTTTTGTATTGAAATGATTGAGCACAGTACAAGAATGATTTGATATGTATAGGCAAAAGGGGGAAAAATGCTCATATTATTCTGAATGCAACTTATGTAGATGTCCGTAACTTGAGAGCTATATTGAAAACCAAAATAGATAAAAGGTAAAATACACAAAAGTACACTGTATCGTGCGCATTTCTTAATTTATCACCAGAAGGACCCACTGGAAATATGTCTTCATTCAGACTTTTGTGAGTTTATGTGTACCGTACTTGCGCGAATATGCACCCCTCTCATGTATTTATTTTTTAAAACAATATTCTGGGTTATGTTTGAGAAATTGCTACTGATTAGTTCTGTAGGATGATTTGTTGTCTAAATCCAGTTGTTGATTAGCTAACCATGTTGTCTGCTAGATTGATACATGAACTCAATTGTAAAATATATTAGCATAAATTGTCCAATTAACAAATACATAAGTTATAATGTTTTTGAAAAATAAGGGGTAAATAGGTTGTCGAAAATTATGCAGGAATGTACATTAGTATGCACTAAAACACTAATAACTAATGTATAGACAAATGTTGTTTTTCTTAACAGATCAACCACATAATATCAGTAGCTGGCTGGGGTGTGGAGGATGGTGTTGAGTACTGGGTTGTCCGCAATTCATGGGGACAGCCATGGGTAGGTTCTAATCATGATCATCTATATTGATAAATTTTTTATTTACTTTAATATTTTGTATATCTGTCTGTGTTTGTTGTCGTCATTATTGTTTGAGGTCAAATGTATAGGCCTAATTAATTAGATTACCCACTCCAGTGTCACCATTTTCTTATATCATCTTCACTGCTACCACCAACAACAATTACACTACTGTATATGTTAATATAATATAATATATAATATCATTAGCTAATCTTTTAAATCATTCATTTCATTGTTCTTTACTCATATTTATCTTTTTATCCATCATTTTAGGGTGAATATGGCTGGGTTCGTCTTGTAACTAGCGCATACAAGAACGGCTCTGGAGACGATTACAATCTAGGTGTTGAGAAGTCCTGTGCCTATGCTGATCCCATTGTGGCATAAGCCCTAAGCACCTTTTCAATCAATTAAAAAACTGTACAGCACCTGAATCCATGCAATATTTTATGGCGCTGTGACATTAGCTCAGAGTGACTCATATATAGAATTAATATTAAGATATTAATATAATTTAGTTATATATTTTTTTATTTCAATCAAACAGCGAATAGTCACCACTAACAGCTGGTATAAAAATCATTACTAAAAACACATTATAAAGTAATATATAGATAAATATTAAACAATAGATAATCTTAAGTTGCGAAGTATAAGTGAAAAATAATAATGTTGAAAAACTATTGTCAAAAATGTCAATATCGTTTGAAGAACAAATGGAATTAAATTGTATTGGAATCCTAGAAAGACGACTATGTTAGCAAGCGTCAACTCTACTTAAAGGGACATTAAACAAGACAAGAACGCAAATTACAGAAACTAACATAAAGACCAAACAATTGAACAAGGTCACAGCTAAAAGACAGTGCAAGGATTGCAGTGAAAATGCTTTAGTGACTGTAGCATTTCTATGGAAACCAGGCTTCACCTTGATATAAGATAACTTTTATTGTATACTGCAGTTACCTTAATAGGATTCATTATTATACTATTTACATTTTTTTTAGTATATAAAAGCAGAACGTTGAAAATTATTGTAACTGTTCTGTAGTACTAAAATGAAACACCCAATTCAACAGTTTCATTGATAATAATGATTGGAAATGTTAATTTTAAATAGTTAAGTATATTTATTGTTTCTATTTATTTTGGGTGTAGTTAGCACAGTGGTTGTGGCGCACTCTCAACCTTCAGGTCGTTGGAATGCCTTCTGTGTAGTGTGGATGGGTGCCAGCACAAGATGAGAAGTTTAACAAATTCATGCTCGAGGATATTTTAACCCCCTTCTCACAGCATTGCATAGTCTGAGGCCCAAATTAATACCATGGCCCCAAATTAATACCATGGCCCAAATTAATACCAAAGGAAAAGGAGGTAGGCAATTCAGCCTTTAAGCTCAAATTTCTAGTTTTTTACTTTGCTTTTAATTTACTTTTCTTTTTATCAGTGAGCTCTTGCACTCTATAGCCAGGGGTCCCAAGCATTTATAGGTCCATGCAATATTTATTTTTGCCTGATACATTGAACTAGTGGGGCCATTTTGGGGTGCACTAACATGCAAGAAAACCTCAAAACACTGAAGTGGGTGGCGATTTCCCCCAGGGTAATAGGGTTCTGAAGAAACATTAGCAAGTGGCTTAAGACCATTTTGTAAGGCCACTGCTGGTTATTATTGTAGATTCTTGTAGTTTTTTTTATACTATGCAGCAAATGGTGGACTGCTAATTCAATAACTGTAATATTACATGGACAGTAGTATTAATAAAGTTCACTAAATATTTGTCAAATGTATTGTTTTCAGAACTTTTTCTTAGTATTTTGAACATGGCTCAATCCTTTCTATTTCACCCAATCTTTTAAAGACATGCCATCAGCGGTGAACTCTGGAAAAAACTTTAAAAAATTTATAAGAAAATTAAATTGCATTTCAGTTTAAAGTTTTATTTTATTTCCAGAGACAGCATAATGGCAATGATAAGAAGATTCATGGACTTTTATTCCAGATAAAAATCCATATAATAGTAGTAGTAGTAATAATAATAAAAATAATAACGATAATAATAATGATAATAATAATGATAATAATTATAATAATAATAATAATAATAATAATTAATAATAATTAATAATAGTAATGATAAAAATAATCAAAGGTACAGTAGTTCAAAGTCGGGCAAGAATGGTTTGAAACAATAGGCTAGGAGAGTGAGGGCTAGTGAGAGTGAAACAGCATGAACAAGAAAGCCAAAATTAAACTTCAGAGGCATGCCTCTGAATAGGCCAACTGGTTTATAGAATATTAAATGTGGAATGCTTTTGGATTAATTTAGTGTACTGGGAAAACCAGGCGTGGCCCCAGGGGGGGCCGTCGGGGACCGAAGCTCCGACGAGGGGTCAGATGAGATTTCCCCGACAAAAGCAAAGTGAGCGTGGTTTAGCTTCGATTAAAAGGATTCAAAAGTGGTCCAGTGGTCGAAGCCCCGTAAATTTTGACAATTTAGGGGTTTCAAAAGCTTATTTAATCGATTTTGGAGTCTACTAATATTTAGAAAATACATATAATTTTTTTTTCTCCGAATTTTCTTCGAATTGTGCTTTTTCTCCCCGACCGGGGAGGGGGGGGGGGGCAGCCCTACTTACGATTTTTTTTTTGCTCCAATTTGTATTACGGCCTATTGCAATATTTGCAATTGAGTGACCAGCTGAATTGAAATGATCGGCTACTGGATGATCAATCTTAGAGGTTTTTAAAGCTGATCATGTCATTCTCATACCATGAGGAAATCCTCCATGGTCAAATGAGAAGTGTTTTTTGTTTCTCCGACATATTGTTTACCAGAAAGATTAGAGTATATGAGATAGACGTTTTTTCCCTCCTGTGCCTGGCTTTAATAGGGGTTTCTGTAGTGTTTACAATGTTTGTCTGGCAAAAACATGGTTTTATGTCAAATTAGAATAGGACCACATAATGTATCTAGCAATCATCACTTTCAAATACCTCTAGTTGCTTATTAGTAAAAGTTATTATTGCGCATGGCTCAGTGTCCTTTCTTCATCTACTGATTATTACTTTAGTTTGTTTTAAATGTTTTTTTATTATTTTAATTTTTCACGGGCCAGACTAAATTGGTTCGTAGGCAAAATTTGTCCTACGGCTGCCTACTAAGAACCAGGGACATTTAGGCACGTAAACATCTTCATAACTATACAGGATATGAGAACAAAACAGTTTTTGTTAAAGCATAATCATTAATCATAGTGGGTAAAGACTAAATCTAGCAGCCACGAGAACATTTTTTAAAATATTCATCAGAATAATTATTTCGTCATCAGCAAATTATGCATGACTCGTACTGTACAGTGGATCGACTCAACACAGGTTTCTGCGATAGGCTTGGATTTAGTGTTTCGTGTACAAAATAAGGATAGTACGAAAGCCTATTAGGGCCACTGCAATATATATTTTTATGTCGTAATTACGACATACGTAAGTCGTAATTCCGACTTGTTATGTCGAAATTTCGACATACGTATGTCGTAATTACGACTTATTATGTCGAAATTTCGACATATGTCGAAATTCCGACATAATAAGTCGTAATTACGACATACGTATGTCGTAATTACGACTTATGTCGTAATTTCGACATACGTAAGTCGTAATTACGACTTATGTC